ATCGCGACGCGGGGCTACGAGTATGTAAATTGACTTGTACAGAACACTTTCTCTATGAATTATCTTTTAAGAAGTGTAGAATTGTCCTAGCACTCTTGCAGATTATGAGCCAAGATCACTTAGCTTTGGTGCATGCTTGCCTGATTTATATACCTTAATTAGGTCATTAATAACTCATATAAATATGTCATCATTTCTTGGAAAGCATGCCTGGTTTCTTTTCTGCTTCTGGCCGTAGTATCTGTACTGACTGATCTGCCTTTTAAACTTAAATGGGTTTTATGTTGTCTCTTCTCTTACATATTATCTTCTCTTACATAAGGTGGGGGGGGGGAGCAAATAAATTTCTATATTCTCAACTAAATCCTAATTTGATTACCATGTGACATGAGTCACCTAAGTGAAAACATTTCCAAAAAAATGTATGGGAAATTCATATGGAAATGTCCAGAGCTTAAGGAATAGAATGCCTCATGACAGAAATTTCTTCTCCCTTTTGATTAAACTTGGATAGGCATAAAGAGGTATGCAGGGTAGGCTCACCCCAGTAAGATGCTTTATGCTGAAGAAGCAACTTACTCTATCTTGAATCTTCAATTAAAAGCACAAAGGCAGGCTGATCTGTCTTAAACAGCCACTTTACTTTGCTAAAAGTGGCTTCCAAACATATGCAGAAGCCATTTTTCTTGTTCACTTTGCTGCTTAGAAATTGGAAGGTGCTTCACTTTGTCAAGTTCCTTGAAGTTATGCTTCAACAGTACTTTCATCAAGACAAAAAGCACTCTGTACAGATCTAGTTATCATACTAGTGATACTAGTACTTCTTTTTTTTCCAAGCCTTTTTCTTCATCTAACTATTGATTGGATTAAGGTATACAAGAACCTGAAGAAATTTTGTCCTCCCTTTTTTTTCTTTTTCTTTTCTTTATCATTATTATTGGGCTTCTTTTTTCTACTATTTTGATTTTGAACTATAATTGGTTACTTCACAATTGGACTAAGGTTTAGAAGAACCTGAAGATTTTGAATTGCTTAAAATGAGTAGGAAATTTACAGCTCCTGGTTCTTCAACTTCTATTTCTTCCTCTCCACCATCTGGAGAACAACGTTCAATACAGACAATGTTAAAGCAAGAAAAAGAAAAGGAAAAAGTGACTCTGCAGATGATTATGCAAGGAATTCAAAGTATTCAAGCAAGATCAGAGAATATTGAAAAGAGAATAGAGAACATTGAACAAAGAACAAAGAACATTGAACAAAGAACAGAGAACATTGAACAAAAAACAGGGAAAACCGATGAAAAAGTGGAGAACATCCAACAAATGATGTTGAATGTTGAGATTCCAAAAAATTGAAGAAGATAAACAAAGTGACAAGAAGATTGGAGATATTGATAATAGATTAACGGTGGTTGAACAAGATAAAAGTGGTATGTTGAGATGGGAGATAGATAGATCAGAATTCTATCTTAGATTCCAAAACGTAGAGGAAGAAAAAGGACAAAACTTATCTGAGATAATGATAGAAATACTGGCTGAAGCTTTGGAAATTGCTCAAGAGAAGATGATGGATGGAATAGATGAAGTTTATCGAGTTTTCACAAGATATGCAATGAGAAATAGCTTACCAAGAGAAGTTCACATTAGATTTACAAAGAAAGCCATTAAAACACAAATATTGCAAGTGGCAAAAGAGAAAACATTGAAATATAAAGACAAGGAGATTGTGGTCTTGAAACAAATACCCAGAAGAGTGAGAGAGATGAGAATACCGATTCCTGACTAAAATGCTACTTTAAAAAGAGGTGAATTATAGATGGCTGATTCCAGAAGGTTTAATGTTCACATGGCAAGAACAGAGACATAGAATTGACTCAATTGAGAAAACGGAATTATTTTATACAGATTTTTTTGGAGGGAAAGAGGAAGAGGCAGAAAAAGAGATCTCACTAATTGAATTCCAAGAGGACTGCCAAATGGCGACTGAAAAAGAAGGTGCAGTAGGTGGAAAGGTGGAAGCCAAAGAACAACGTGAACTAAGATCTACGAGAGCTGCTAAACTTAACTACAAAATATAACCATGGAAGAGAAAAAACTGATTACAATTAATATAAATGGACTTAACTCAGCCGTTAAAAGAAGGAAAACCTTTCATAAATTAGAGAAATTAAAATTTGATATAATTTGTCTACAAGAAGTCCATATTAAAAAACAATATGAACAATTGTTGATACAGCCAAAATTAGGGAAAATATTTACTTCCTTGACACAATGTAAGAAAAGAGGAGTGGTTTTATATATTAAAGAGACCACCCCAGCAAAATTGATTTATACCGATGATGATGGAAGAATACTAATGGTGGAAATAATGGACAATAATACGAAAACACTCCTGATTGCAATCTATGCTCCGAATGACAAACAAGAAGAATTCTACAAAAAATTACATATGAAAATAATTGAACTGGACTATGCTAATATAGTTATGATGGGAGATTTTAATGGAATTGTAGACAACAAATTGGACTATACAGCACAGAAAACAATAAAGCAAAACAGAAAGACTCTCCCTAAATCTTTTTTTTAAATGGTAGATGAAATAAACTTAAAAGATACATGGAGAGAAAGAAATGCTAAAACTAAACAATATACCTTCTACTCAAATAGACACTTATCATGGTCCAGAATAGATGTGATATGGATGTCAACAGAATTAATAACTAGTATTCAAGAAATAAATATTGAAACAAGTACTTGGGCAGATCACAATCCAATGACAATTAAATGGAAAGGGCAAAAAAGAAGATCTAGATGGACGTTAAATAATACTATTTTAAAGGGAAAAGACTTCACACAGTGGTTGGAGAAAGAATTGGCTTTTTTCTTTAGAGAAAACAAAAAAGAAGATACATCAATTCAGAATGTATGAGATACAATGAAGGCATATGCTAGAGGCTTGATAATAGACTATACAAGGAAAAGGAATACTATGAAAAGACTAGCCTCTAAGGCCTTAGAGGATGAGCATAAAGGACTTGAAAAAGAGCTACAGAAAATGCCACAGAAAAAGGACATCAAGCTAAAAATGGACATAATTAAACATAAAATGGGTCAAATAGAAAAAGAAGAATTAGCACAGAAAATTAGAGGTGCT